AAGAGCTCGAATTGACTCCCTCAGCAGGCGAGGCGAGGTCAAGAGCGAGGGACGAGCAACGGCGAGGCAGCTCACTCACTCACGCCTACACTCGGACTTTGGCGTCTTCGCCATGGCAACTCGGCCCGAGCACCTCCGCGTCCGGCCGCCGGCCATTGTCCTGCCCGAACTTGACGGCGGTGCAGGTGATGAGAGAGGCGCAGGAGCTAGTGGAGGCGCAGGAGCTAGTGGAGGCGCAGGAGCTAGTGGAGGCGCAGGAGCTGGCGGGAGCGATGGCGAACGTGGTGGAAGCGGGCAGAGTGACTGGCGAGATGAAGAGATCGAGGAGATGCTGCGGGCACCGGCATCGCCAGACGTAGAGGCAAGGATGAAGAAGGCGCTGTACGCGCGGTATCCGCCGGGGCGATCGTTTGCGGAGCAGTACGCGCTCGAGTCGCGAGTCAATGCCTCTGCTCGGCAGAACCGAGCCATCTACGCCGCGATTCGGCTGAAAGACGGAGTGCAGGTGGCAGTGAAGGTCATTTCCAAGACATATCCTCGCCAGCTGGCTCGAGACGAGATCGATGCCCTCCGACGTGAGGCGCTTATCCAGATTGCCGTCTCGCGCCACCCGCACTGCGTCACCCTCCTCGACTACTTTGAGACCAAGAAGAAGATATACATTGTGATGGAGTACATGGATGGTGGAGATCTGCTCGACTTTCTCGGCTCGCGCCCAGGCTCGCGGTTTACCGAGGGTGACGCCCGTGCACTGCTCGGCACCCTCGCCGGCACTCTCGCCTGGCTCCACGGCCACTCGATCTGTCACCGCGACCTCAAGCCGTCCAACGTGCTGCTGGTGTCGGTGCCCGAGGGCACCGATCTCGTCCGGCTCGTTGCTGGTGGATGCCTCGAGGGCTACGTCGTCAAGATCTCTGACTTTGGCCTCTCCACCTTTCTCACCTCGGCCATGACGACGCCGGTCGGGACGCGGTCGTTTGCCGCACCGGAGCTCCTTAACTGGTCGGCAGCAGCGTCGCCGGTGGCCGGCTCGTCACCGCCAACATCATTGGGCAGGCGGCAGAGCTCGACGGCATACTCGGAGGCTGTCGACATCTGGTCGTTTGGCATCATCATGTACATTGTGCTCATCGGGACCATGCCGCCAACGCCGCTTGCCTTCCCGCCGTTCGCCACGGCCCCGGTTTCGAACGAGGCCAAGGCCCTCATCTCGGCGCTCATCCATCCGGACCCGGCTGAGCGGCCGAGCGCGGTGCAAATACTGTCCTCGCCCTGGCTCTCACGCCCGCTAGCGTGGCTGAACTCGCGCCCAGGCTCGCGGTCCGACGACGAGGGCGAGGCTTGTGACCGCGACGTCGCGCTCGTCGGTGACTACTCTGCCCTCGCTAGCGCGCCGTTTCTCGGCACTTCGCCGCCTTTCAACTCGCCAGACACATCAACCTCGTTCCCGCACGTCTCGTCGGCCAACTCGCTGACCTCGCTCGCCGAGTCGGTTGAGGCCGAGTCGATGACGCCGCTTGCCTCGGCGGCCATTCTGCACACTGCAGACTTTGGTGCGCTCAACTCGAACTTTGCGTCGGCGCTGACCGAGACCCGCGCCGAGGACGGCCACGTGCTGTACGTGGGATCGTGGCCGGCAACCCGCCCACTTCCAACCGCACTCTACCTTTTGGCCTTTGGCAACATTCCTCACACCGTTGTGCCAGCTGTGACACCGACCTCGCCCTCGCCGCCGAGCCTCGAGTTGCAATACTTTTCCATCACGCTCCGCGAGGCGTCTGCCATCGACCGGTTTATTGCCCGCCACACGGCCTCGCTCTACTCGGGTGGTATCGAGTCGCTGGCCATCATCGATGAGCTCTACGCTGCCGTCGCTGCCGCCGACGACGTTCTTCACGCCAGTTTGGTGGGCGGCGAGGCGACCGATATGTCGCTGGCTCGCCTCACCGACTTTTTCGCCGCCGTCGACGCCTACATTCCCGACGATGTTGCCACCCAGCCAATCCTTAGCGTCACGCACGGCTCGCGGCTGGCGCTACGGTCGCGGATCTCGCTCGCAGACGTCCGCCTCTACGCTTTTCTTGACTTTATCGCCCACTCGCCGCTCGTTGCCGCTGTCTTTGGCTCGAGCCTCCAAGAATTGCTCCCATCGTCGGTCAAGCACTTTGAGCGGCTTGTTGCACCGCTCTTTCCGCCTGTATCGCTCCCAGACCCGTTTCCCGCAAGCTAGCCTACGCGAGCTGCTTCCTCGCCTGCTTAATCCGAAGCTCGAGCGGCGCCTGCCAGCCGTAGCCCGAGCAGGCTTCGGCGCGGTCGAGCCACTCGCGCGCGCCGGCCAAGTTCCCAGCGCTGTACGCCAGCTCAGCGAGCTCAAACTGTGCGTACGGCACCACGTGGCTAGCGTGTGCCGGCTCGGAGGAGGCAACTGTGCTTAGCCCCGCTGCCGCAGCCTCGAGCTCGCCGGCGTTGACCGCGACCGCCGCGCGGAGGAGGCCGGCGATGAGTGCGGCGTCGCCATCGGCTTCGGCACTCGCGTCCTCAAGCCCGGCCGCGTACGTGGCGAGCACCACGCCGCGCATCGGCTTGAGCTCGCGCTTGAGATATGTGATCTCAAAGGCGAGAAGCGCAAGGCCGGCCGGGCCGAGCTTGGCGCTCCGCGTCGCAGTCTCGCTCGCGAGCGCATCGAACCGCGAACTCTTGCACACGTAATTGGGCACGCGAGCGAGCGCGTCTGCGGCCTCGGCACTGCGGCCTGGCAGCTGCGCGAGCGCCGCCGCATAGCAGAGCGCGCACAGACCGCGAATCTCGAACGCAGTCCGGGAGCTCTTGCCCGACGCGCCCGACGGCGCGGTGGCGTCGAGCAACGCACTAAATAATTGCACCGCGTCGGCCCAGGCGCAGGCAGCAAAGGCGGCACTGGCAGCATCGGCCGCATACAAATGCGCGACAGGAATGCCCGCCGATGCTGCCAGTGCCGCCTCTGCCGCTGCGGCTGCCTCACCCGGATTGCCGACCTTGCGGGCGAGCTGGCCGCGAAGCATGTGGAAAAGCGACGAGGTCGGCCAGTGGTGGAGCGCGAGGTCGAGCAAGCCGCGTGCGTCGTCGAGGATGTCCACGTTGGAGCCAAAGCCGCGCGGAAAGTAGAGGCTATTGGCAAGGAGGACGGCGAGCGCCCACGGCGCAGCAATCGACGCCTTTGGCCCGGCGTTGACCACCTTTCGTAAGCTCGCCAGCCCGGCATCGCGGTCGGCCTCGAACCCGATCAGCCGCAGTATCATCGACGCCATGCCCTTGGGCGCCAGCGCAATCAGAAAGTACATCAGCCCCAGCCCGTAGTCGAGCTGCAGCGAGAGTCCGGCACTCTCACCAACAACGTCTTCGTCGCGAAGTGCGCGAAAGCCGTGCCACGACTTGCGAAGCGCGTACAGGCCCTTGATCCGCCCCCCATGCTCAAGTGCATCAGAGCGGCATAAAGCCTCGCCTCGGCAGCCGCAAGCCGCGCATCGACCGAATCCCTGCCCACTGCCGCCGCCGCATCCAGCGCCTTGCTCAGTCGCTCGAGCGCCTCGTGCTTGTCGTCGACCGATCCGGTGATAAACGAGACCAGGACCGGGATCTGTGCCCTCACCAACGCCACCCTCGCCGCTACCTCGCCTAACTGGTCATCGCCCTCGCCCTCGCCCTCGCCCTCTCCAAGGCCAAGCCCATCCGTCATCGCCACATCGAGAGCAGCGGCAGCCTCGTCGAATCGGTTGTTCCACGCCAGCGCCATCGCGTCAGCCACGACCTACACAGCCACAGCGAAGGGAGGGGTGAGTTGTGGGACGGAAGAAAAGATCGAGTGAGGGGTCGTGAGGGGTGACAGAGCGGGCACATACTGCGTGTGTAGTGTGCATCGTGGGCGTGTCGGGGGATCGGTGTGTATGGGGGGGGGCTGGTCGTCAACAACTACTGCTGATCGTGATCGAGATCAATGACGAAACGACCGAGTGACGTATGGTGGTGATCGAAGCGGAATGATGATTGCTGTCGTTCCACAGGAGAACTACGAGATGGTGGGCAAGGGGAGGGGGAGCAGCGTTGGCGGAGAACACTGGACAGCACGAGGTGCGGCATACGTCCTGCTGCATTAGTTATGCTGCTCTTCAAGCTGATCAGTCACGTCATCGACAGGAGATGCAAGATTGAGGATTCCTTGCGGAGTGTAAGACCTTTTTCGTCGATCCGGCGATTTCGTGTCGACGTCACCCGGCTCTGCCTTCTCACCACCATCCTGGCCTATCCTCACCCCCCCCATCCCTCCTCATGCATCTCACCCTAACTTTCTACCCCTCTGCTCCCTCCAAGTCAAACTCCTGCCCCATCCACGCTTCTCTATCGCTCAAACCGGTGCCCAGCACTCTCGCCAAAACCGACCGCCCGTCGACAGCAAGGCGACTCGACTCGGCTGCCATCCTCCCGCCACCGCCAACCACCCGCCACCACCCTCTCTGACCACCCCACTCCCCCCCTTCACCCCGTCCCCGCCCCCCCCCCCCCCCTCCCCCCACACACACACACTCACTCACACACACACTCACACACTCACACACACTCTCTCACAGTGCCTGCTGCCGCTCGTTAACACGCCCGTGCTCGACTACACCCTCGAGTTCCTGGCCTCCTCGGGAGTGAAGGAGATCTTTGTCTTCTGCTGTGCTCATCCCGAGCTCATCTCGGCCCATCTGGATGGCTCAAAGTGGACCAAGGCCTCGTCCAAGGTCACTGTTACCACCATCATCAACACTCAGTGCATCACTATTGGTGATGCCCTGCGGGATATGGACTCCAGGGATGTCATCTCGGGCGACTTTGTCCTCGTGGCCGGCGACGTCGTCTCCAACCTCGACCTCCGCCCCGTCATCGCCGAGCATAAGAGGCGCCGGGAGGCCGACAAGGGCGCCATCATGACTTCGGTGTACAAAAAGGTGGCGCCGTCGCACCGTACCCGCTCGCTCAACGATGACGTCATTGTCGGGCTCAACACAGAGACGTCCGAGGTGGTCTACTTCTCGTCCGAGGTCGAGTCGTCCAAGATTGATCTCGACGTCCGGCTCTTCACCGAGGTGCCCAAACTCGAGCTCCGCCATGATCTGCTGGACACCTTTATCGACATCTGCGCACCCGAGGTGCTCATGCTGTTTTCGGACAACTTTGACTACTCGGACTTGCGCTCCGACTTTGTGCGCGGCATTCTCGGCGCCGAGATTCTCGGCAACAAGGTCTTT